CAAAAAACGTGCCTTAATGTCCCTTCTCCTTTAATATGTGTAAGCAAATATTTCAAACAGTATCTCATCTAAAAAGTTTCAATGCATAATAACTGATTATTTTTTCTATGGCTTATTTGTTTTCAAAATGATATACTCGTAAGGGTACAGAAGCAAAAGGCACTACACGTAGGCTTTATAATGATATAGCTTTCGAGTTTTTAAACAATGCTTTTCCTCTATATTTTATTTTATACATATACCTATTTAGACGTATAAAATAAACACATTGATGTGACTGCATGGCAGATATTTATCATATGCAAGTTATTCCATCTACATACCACCATATATCATGTTCGATGATATTTGTCCTTTTTAATTTTTTTTTTATTTGAATGTTACTGCTGAGAAACTGTAGACGAAACGCGTGTCTTGCGTACAAAATTTTAATCCTGGTATCTATGATGAGTTTATTTACAACCTTTGATAACGCCGAAAATAGGCGTTACAAATAGCGAAAAATGTTTATACTGATTTGCCGATTGATCATGGATACAGTGTCGGCGGAAATGTCGCGATGTCAGAGGTATGGTTTTAAAATCCCGATGATGAATGAAAATATTTGCAACCGTAAATTTGCACATCTAACAGTGTTGGGCTTAAGAGAGAGAGAGAGAGAGAGAGAGAGAGAGAGAGAGAGAGAGAGAGAGAACGTTTATAAAAAGGACCAACCAGAATATTTAATATGTACCGGATCGTCTACAATAGACGATACTGCGCAGATAAGGAAAAAATTATAAAAGTCTAAAGATTTGCGCAACGGTACTAATATACGAAGATGATGTTTATAAAATCGTGTTGACAAATATTTCGGCTGAACAAATAGCCTTTCGTCAGTGTCAATTATTTTAACAATACTAGTTGTTATATACAATGTATATATATAAACCAATTACACACATAAAATTACAAATTGCCTAACAATGTAAAAAGTAAAATAACAAAAAATACCGAACTCCAAGGAAACTTAAAAACGGAAATTCCCTGATTAAATGGCGAAATCAAGAGTAAACGAATGGAAAACAACTGTCATATTCCTGACTTGGTACAGGCATTTCCTTATGTAGAAAATGGTGGATTAAACCTGGTTTTATAGCTAGCTAAACCTCTCACGGTGTCATCCTGGTTTGCCCACATTTAATTACAGGTTTATAAAAACATAGGGTTTTTTGTCGTTTTAACAATTTTTGTTTATTTCTGAATTAAAGTCATAGTTTTTACCTTTATTTTACTTGTAAAATCTTATAAAAGATACTTAATTCTACTATAAAATCAAGGAAACTGTGCAAAATATTTTATAAATTTACCAGGAAAATGTATTGAATTTGACAATTATTAAAAAAATATATACAAAAGTGTTTATTATTTTTACAAATTGTCTACAAAACTTTTAAGTTGTTGGTATATTCTAAACAAAAATGTAAAAGATTGAAACTTAAGAATGAAAAAAAATCTCATTTAAAATTTATTTTTATTTTTTCACCTTCTTTATTTTTTTAATGTTAGTAAATATTTTGTTCTGAAATTTGATATAAAAAAAACAATTATTCTTAACAAATAAAATATAAAATAAAATATAAATGCAACTGTTCATGATCAGTAGCCAAGCAATTTTTACAATTCTTCCAAGCTGTTAATAATTTCTCATTCTCATTCTCTTTTGAGAACTGTTCTCACAAATTATTTTTCCACTTTACCCAGTGTATTAGGCAAAAGGCACAGAAATGTGGACAATAGTCATACTATTAAGAAAATGAAGACATCACTCGATTTATACGACGAGCTACAGTATTACCTCTCGTTCCACCCCATCTTTTTGAGGATGTTTGGCTTACATCGTATAAAGACATTGGTGTAGCTGAAAACATCCCCGCTACAAAATCATTTACTATTACGTGACAGAGTTTTGGGATGAAAGGTACCACGTTTTATGGAACCACTACTTCGCCGAAGGACCCTGCACCACCAACCACCTGGAAGGATTGCACAACAAAATTAGGAAGAGACTCCAACATCTACGAGATCATCGAGTTACTCAAGAAGACCCAGGTACTAACAGAATGTACCATTATTCAGTATGCAGCAGGAGAAGCCCACCTAAACGAAGACAATTCAGTCATCGACACCAGACTCCAACTACTAAAAGACAGATACCAACAAGGACTCATCAACGTGATAGACTACTCTGACGCAGCATTCCACCTTCTTCATTTGAACTGAATGACTTTTTGAAATATTGCAATTTGTGACTTTGTGAATATAATGTTTTGTGCCTTTGTAAATATAATGTTTTGTGACTTTTGAAATATATATAAAATGTTGTATTTTTCATCATTATACATATAGTGCTGCATATTACTTATTTTTACCATAGTGCTTTATGTATTTCCTTATGCAGTGCATGTATATATTTGATTCATAAACTATATAAATTATGTTTGCAATAAAAGAAAACTTTATCATATATTGGTATATTCATTTATAATTATTTCTATCTGAGGAATTATAAATGAATGCCATTACTTTGTCATTAGTTGTATGTTAAATGAATCGATTGATTTGATATTAAATGTTTTTAAGAAAGAAAAAAATATTTGATTTATTTATTATTTATCTATACAAAAAAAGGGAACCACAAAATGAAAAATACCTGAATATTCTTTACTGATAGATAATTGATATAATTAAATGTGGGCAAACCAGGAGTAAACCCCTCTCACTTGTATGGCAGTCGCATAAAATTCCATGATATTGACAACAATGTGTGAGCAAAACAAACAGACATAATAGGTAAAAATGTCAAATATTGGGGTACAGCAGTCAACATTCTGTTATAATCTTAATCACTATAAAAATAAACGACTATGTCAACAAAGAAAAACAAAATGCCATATAGACACTCTATAGACAAAGCACATAAGCAAAACTTAAAGACAAGAATACAAAAAATGACCATAGCACAATAACACAATGGCGAGATGTATAAATACCGAGCCACGCCAAAAGGATATGACCAAAAATGGACTAAACAGTAAAGGTTAAAAATATACACAGACAAATAAAAAGAACACTATAACACGTAATTAAGATGATAAACAACGTCAGTACTTAGAATCTATATTTCACGACCATCATGTATTATTTGTGAAGTTGATACGAAATATCTATCAACAAGGTCTTGGTATCTTCCTATGAAATTAGAAAAAGGACGAGACGTTCTTTGACATAACCCTGGTTCATCAACTTTCTGCTCAGACACTGGTGACGTTTTATAAAGTCTGAGAAGCAACTGCAAGCTCTTGAATACCGAATGAGTTGGGAAATGTATATCCCATATGCAGGTGAAGTTGGTAATTTTACCACAACATTAAAAAGTGTTAAAAATATTACAATGCGATGGAGAAAAAAATAAGCTCACAAGATGCATATATCCAGCTGAAATCGGATGCAAATAAGAAACTTTTGCGGCTGGTGGTAAATGTAATTTTGCTGCGTTATAAATTGGATGACGTTCAAGATTTTTAAATTAATTTAAGAAATCTGTTGTTGAAGTAAGGTAAATTTTTAACGTCTATTGGCCAATATTACAGAGATATTAACGACGATGCCACATAATAAACTCGTTCTTTACCTTTCCAGGACCTTTTTTTCGTCTTTTCCATTTAGACCATTAGGTTCTAAAATATGGAGCTCTTCTCCTTCTCGCCGCGGTGTTCCACTCATTGTTTACTTCTATAATTTGAAAAGAACTTTATTAAAGGATATTTTTTGAGGAGACAGTTTGTTGTTGATTTTGTACCATAATCGATGGTTATTTAGGTGAGTGTTAAATATGTTCATTGTTTCTCGAAGGTACTGAATGCCACAGGTATGTGTGTGTGTGTATTTAACATTGTTGGGCTGTTATTTAGACGAATTATATATATAGAATGTGTTTCCAGCCTTGTATCACCATCACTGGTGATCCGATGGATAAAATATGTCGTAGAGTTGTCACTGGTTCAGACGTACTTATATATATATATGTATATGAAATTTTGTGCAACGATGCAAATTGAAATAAAAAAATATGAAAGGTGAAATGAAATGTATTTTGGAAAAAAAATCAAAAGAAGAAAATACCCCGTCAGTGTTAATTCTTTTTCAAAAAGAAAAAACAATATGATGTTCTTGATTTCTTCATATGGCAAAATTTGGGGTACTTATCACGACGACAGCCATTAAAATAGAATTATACATGCCCTTAAAATAAAAATGCAAATATGCCAATTCTAATGTCGAATCAACAATGTGTCCGCATATAGGTGAATTGTACATGTTTTTTGCCTTCTGTCCGTGTACAAATGAACATTGTCTGCTTTGAAAAACTTTCGGCCTTTTTAGTTTGAAAATCGGAAGCGTAACCGTAGTATAATTGCTATATAAAATAACGAAAAATCGTAAAAAAGCAAGACTCCAAATAGAAATAAAGATACAAGAAGAGATTGTTCATGATTTGTCCGCATATAGGGAAACACCTTGCAGGTTGAATTTTCAGGTTAAATAACTATTATCTTACCTGCTGTCTAAAGTTTTTGGCCAAATTCTTCTATAAACATGATGATTTCATCCTTCCCATTTCGTAAATAGTCAAATTTTAAGTATTTTTCCTTAGAATTACACATCATATTTGTATATATCCGCCAAAGGAAGTTTTCAACGACACATTAGTTTTAGATCCAAGACGGAAAAGAACTGGATTATCCGCAAATTTGATATAATTTATTTTTTCAATCTTCAACTAAGGGAAGTAATTTAATCAAAAGGGTCAAAGACACGTGGTGCAAATCAAATGAATAAAGTACCTAGGATTTTGCCATATGTTGCATGTTGTTATATCTCACTCATACAGGTAAACATGTGCTTATCCAGATTCTTGATTAATTGTAATATAATGAATTGATAAAAATATCTTTTAGCTTATCTTAAGTATGTTGCTGATACAACCAGGGAGGACAAAGAAATATATAAAAACACTGACGTTTACACAGAATCTATAAGACTAACTGATGAAGATCAAATAAAACAGCAGACGGATGAAGATGGAGACATATTTCATTGGCTAAAGCTTCAAGCAAAGAAAGGTGTGCTGTCTGCCCAGGTAATATGAATTCATGTTACCCGGATCAAGTATGGCAGGACCTGTGGTAGATAACATAAACATAGAATGCATATTTAATTTTTTTAAATGATGATATTGGCTGACTAATATTTCATTGAAAAAAGCTAAAGTACTACGAACCACTAACCACTGATACCGTATTCTCTCTGCCTTTAGAAAAATAACATTGCAAAAATATGAAAAGTAGCGAGCACTACTTTTACTTATAAGCACAGTGTTACATTCAAACCGGTCTTGTTATTACGATCAAATCTGTCATTGTCATTGCATAAAACAGATTACAATTGATCGCAATCGGTAATTTCAAAAGCTATATAGATAACAAACGCATGCATAAAACAGGTGTTTCAAACCGATCGAAATCATTTGTAGTTATTAACAGTATATTTTAAACAGGTTTAATACCATCGCTTTTATCAATATTCCAACTAATGACAAACAGTTACTTCAAGTAGACATATTACGGTCATATTTTTATACCATCACTTTAAAAGTTCCTCATAGCCAACGGAGTATTGCCACGAAGGTCTCAATTTAGTTCTAGAAATCAGACTTTGTAATATCATATCTAAAATTCAGGATATAATATATGCATATTTAGATAAAAAAAGATGTGGTATTTTTCTGTCTAGTGTTAGTTTGCGATAAGTTTGAGAACTTCTGAGATATGATATTTTACCATTTTATACCAATTTGTTCCTTCTGATAAACATTGGACGCATCCTTCGACCAAATCAAATTTGCTATAAAAAGCTGTATATGGATGACGTTCACACCCTAACAAAAACTTTTCGTGTTCCATGCATATCTCCAATGTCGTCTGAAGAAAAAAACGATAAAAAGAATTTAGCTAAAGTTATGACTGTTGTTATAGGTGTGAGCATGACAAATTTGTATTTCTCATATATTTTTATATGTTTCATTAGATTATTACTTCAATTGCTGAGATTAATTTTCATGGATATTAAGGGCCAATATTTACCCTTAGTGAACCTATACCTTTATTGAAATGGTCTGAAGGAAAAAATTGTAAAAAGAATTTATCGAAAGTTATGACTGTTGTGATATGTTGGATCCTTTTGAATTTATATTGTTTTTTCTACCCCCAGGAATATATTGTTCCAGCCGTATTTGACACAACTTTTCCGAATGAAAAGTTTGTTATGCTCTTCAACTTCATTTTTTATTTAGCCTTCCTACTGTTTTGATTCGAGCGCCACAGATGAGTCTCTTGTAGGCGAAACGCTTGTCTGGCGTACCAAATTATAAGCCTTGTATCTTTGGTGAGTTTTTACAATCCTTCGGTCGATGCCACTGCTGCTTGATGTTTTGTCCATAGGGTATCACCAGCCCTGTAGTCAGCACTTTTGTGTTGACATGAAATATCACTTATATGTTTATTTGCAGTAAATTTACTGATTATAAAATGTTGAATTATTCGAAACACTTAAGTTTTTTCTACCACCAGGGAATAAATAGATTGGCTAGGCCGTATTTTAGTTATTTAGGCTCTTCAACTTCGTATTTGATTTGATCTTCCAACTGTTTTGATTCTAGTGCCACTGATGAGTCTCTTGTAGAAGAAACACGCGTCTGGCGTACCAAACTATAAGCATGGTATCTTTGGTGAGTTTCTACAAACGCTGGGTCGATGCCACTCCTGGTGGCTGTTTCGTCCCCAAGGGTATCACCATCCCTGTGTCTTCACTTTTGTGTTGACATGAAATATCAGTGATATGGTCATTTGCTGTAAATTATCTGATTATTATATGTTGAATTATTCGAAACACTAAGGTTTTTTCTTCTACACCAATGATTAAATTTGTCTTATTTTTTTGGTTTAATGCCCTTCAACTTCGTATTTGATTCGGCCTTCCATTTGTTTTATTCGACCTCCATTGATAAGTTTTATGTAGACGACACGCGCGTCTGGTGTAATTATAAGATCTTATAAGCCTTGTATTTTTTATTGGTGTTTACAATAAAAGTAATCTATTTTCATACAAAATTTACAAACGAACACGGTTTATTTTATACATGAAAAGCCAAAGGTGTCATAATTCCAACTTTGCAATTCTTAAATTGTATGTATGTAACTCTGTAATTTTTAAATTCCAACTTTGCAATTCTTAATTTGTAACAGTGCAACTCGACAATTGAACGTTTGAGAATTGTAACTCGAACTATGCAACTATGTAATTCAAAATTCTAGATTTTGTTCTCTGTTCTGTTTTTAACTATTTTTTTAATTTATTTTTGTTTACTCAATTTTTAACAACTTTATATTCGAATTGACGTAATAATAACTAAATTTATGAGAAAATATATAAAAAGATAATTATAAAATAAACTTGGATGCATAAGATATTGTTAAACATGTGTTTATATTAAATAAAGGGAAATAGAAATAAGAGCATTTATTTAAATATAATACTTCAAATAAGTGATAATGACGTAGGATATGTAGGTATAATATGCTTAAAATGATTCTTAGCGCAATTTCAAAACGTCCGTTATAAGCTTATAACTTAATTATTACGAAAGACTTTGTTTACTTTCAACTCTATGGAAAAGCTATCTTGAATAAATTCCTGAGAAAAGGCATATGCTTTCTTTTTAATTCTGCGTCTCATATAAAAATATGCAAGCGGGTCTCGTGCTAACATGTCAGTTTTCTAGTAAAATATAAAAACATAATGTTCTCCGCCGCACTTAGCAAATTGTGATTGAAAATGTGTCAACAGTATCGCACAGGACCTCTACAACCTGGGGGTGGGGCACCATGGGAATTTCTTCAGTTTGGGCAGGGAAGGGGGTCTTTCATTTCTGTGTTCTGTATTTTTTAATGTGTAGGCCATTTTGCTCTATATTATTTCTTCATAGTTAAGCAACCCTTTTTTGTCTATTTGAGTTTATGTTGTAGCACTCCTTTAGTCTCCATTCCTTTTTTGTAATAGTAACAAAAACATATACATACATGTATATGTTATATTCAGTAAATCTTTAAAAAAAATACAATAACGTTTTATGAATGATATCATAACTCTTTTGTGGGGGGGGGGGGGGGGCATGTTTTTTAAAACAAATTGTTGGTTTTTATTGAAAAATAGGGAAAGATCAAAATTGCGTTTTGTTATCATAGTTTTTGAGAGAATAAAATTGTCATAAAGTCGAAACAAAATGTGTCCTACAGACGCCATCACAAGTTGGTTGACCGTTACGGAATATTTGTTTCACAGATGACGACGGATATGTTCCTATCGTCGAAACCACAATCCAGTCTTCCTTTACCTCGAATGTGACCTACCAAATTAGACTTATCATCGGGTTTGAACTCATATGAGCAACACGACGGGTGCCACATGTGGAGCAGGATCTGCTTACCCTTCCGGAGCACATGAGAGCACCCCCGGTTTTTAGTTGGGTTCGTGTTGCTCAGTCTTTAATTTTCTATGTTGTGTTTTGTTTACTGTTGTTTGTCTTTTGATCTTTTTCTTTTTTGCCATGGCGTTGTCAGTTTATTTTCGACTTATGAGTTTGAATGCCCCTTTGGTATCTTTCCTTTCTCTTCTATATTCCAATATTATTTATCAAAGTCAAAATTAAAATAAATTTCCAAAACCATTGTTCTATGCTGCTGAATGTCCATTAAGATATAACAAATGTTTTTATGAACTAAAATTGGAGTTAGTATCAATAGTGTTCCATCAGAAAACACAAAAGATTTCAAAGCAGACATCTAACATCACAAGGACTCAGTCTCAAAATGAGACATTTGAAAAGGTAAATGTATTTAGTGAACTGTTTTTTTTTTATATATAAATCATACATTTGACTTTACATGCCCTTAAGCAAGGGTATACTGAAATTGTTAAATGGGAAATAGGATCAATCATATTGAACCATGATCAATCATAGTGAACACTAATCTGATGATTTTTTTATTCATGCGAATGAATTTTAGAATTCATTCATACATTTTTGTATTATTCAAAATTATCAGTCACTATGTGTTACACAAGGATCATGAGTCCTTCACCTTTCATTTGATACCTTAATAACTAAAATATATATTTCAATATTTACACCTATGCGTAGGAACTATTTTGTTTTAAATATGTTCTACTTTCCAGTATGTTCTTTTTGACCGGGCCTCATTTGGTGGTGTTACGTCTTACAAAGTCTATCCAACTTATTTTTCCAAAGAATTCCGATCAAGCCGGTGCTGGGGCCGTCTTAAACTTATAGTGAGTTGACAGTATTTTTTTTTCTTTTTTCCTCTGTGTCGAAGTGCTCACTGTGACTTTGAGATGAAGAACAGCAATAAAAGTCCTGTTCCTTTGCTCTAGTGGTTTTTTTAGCTGTGCATATACTGATTTTGTGTCATGGATGGATACTCCATATTCTTTGTTTTTCTATTGTATATCAAAAACAAGTTTCATATACAAAATTTGTAATCATCAAGTCATCATATGAATGTAATCTAAAAGTATTTTTAAAGATAATACTAATTACACCTGTATTTTGCATTGTAGTCGATTTCATTACAATTACTTGTAATAAGAAAATGCATGATTACTGATTACACGGGATTACAATGAAATTGTGATTGGTTGCAGCTGATTACAATTACTGATTACGATTGACCAAAGCCTGACCTGTATCACGTTCGGTCGATGTTCCAGTTAAGACTATTTCCCCGTGATTAGATTGACTATATCAACATTTTTATTTTATTTGTACTTATTTTTTTTTTTTTTTATTGAACTGCAGTTAAGAACATTTGTTATTGCCTGTTATAAATGGTTTATGAATTATAGTTCATTGTTTATTTAAATTGTTTTCTTTTGCGAACGGAAAAATTAAGACTCTACGGGGGAGGGTTCAGCGCTCACAAACATATGTAACTACGCCGCATTCTATATGTGCCTGTCCGAAGTCAGGAGCCTGTAATTCAATGGTTGTCGTTGTTTGCTGTC